CATTTTTGATAAAGATTTGATTAAAATACATGCAGTTGGACTTCTCCTGAGTTGACCTAGGGATAAAATTCATAGCACCAGGTTGCTTATTCAGATAGTTTGCTTTGTAGGAAAGTGTATATAAACAAAGCTCTTTGTTTACAGACACAGGAAACCTGAAATTGACTTAATTTACAATTATATTCACTTTGTATATAATTAGCAAAACAGTTTTCCAGCACTATTTTAGTGAGATAGCTAGGGGTCCAAAATAGCTTGCGTTGCTGTTTTTTTGACACAGAGTGTTTAGCCGTAACTTGTTCCACCTCATCAGTGACTTCTTTAAGTCAGCGCGCTGCTCTAATGTAAGCAGTCTTCTAGTGATACCATACTATGCGTGCAAGCTATCAGGTCTTCTCTTTTCTGTTCTGGTGTTCTCTTCCAGGTTTTAAATGGGTCGTTCTCCTTGGAACTGGTCAGTGAGAAGTACTGGAAAGTGAACAAACCCATGGAACTGTACTATGCACCAACAAAGGAACATAAATAAGCTGTGCTGGAAAACTGAGATGGGACTGTTTTTATAGCTGACTTCTTCAATATTAAGAGCAGGCACCACTGTTATCTTCATGGACAATACATGCGATGCCTTCAGGCTCTCTCAGTATACTTATTAATATGATTAGACAGTATTCTTGGTTGTATTTAATTTAGACTTTTTTTTTCTCTAAGAGACTAAATAACCTTCTCCAGTGCATTCCAGTGTTTGACATGCTTTTTTGTTCCCGATGCATGATAACTGAACGAGTGTTCCAGTTTGGAATGTCTTAATTTTGTCCAGGTAAATCTGGATTTCTAATACATTTGACACAGTTACAGTAGCCTCTGTGAAGTATTGAGCATTGGATGGCTAAGTAAGTCTATTCAATAGTAACATATGCCAAGGAATGTGTTAAATGTTGTAATTTGCTAATGGTTATCCATATAAAAGATAGTAGAGAATTGATTTCTGATGGTCTTGCAGCTAGAGGTGATCAGATTACTGAGGAAACACTTGTTATTCAGACAATTTCTTGTGAGCAAATACAGCTATAGTGAGAAAACAGACACTTTAAAACCTTGCTGTTTACTGGGCTTCAGTGCAAGGTGATTTGGGAGATTGATCTGCTTTCTAACATATAGTTCAAACAAAACCAGAAAAAAGCAAACCCAGAGCCCTTCCCTGTGTAGAACATCCCAGTCTTGATTCACAGTGCAGTTTCCCACCTGGCCCTTGTTGCAGTGATGATCCTGTTCTCACAAGCTTAATTAAATGAAATCTGGAAGTTTTACAGCCCTACTCTGTTCCCTGTTATAACAGATTTTTATTGTGAATGTATCAGTGTTCTGTAAAGAACTGTCTTGAAAACTTCTTTTCAACATAAATCCTCTAAATTCTAGCACGCTGACAAAATGCACGATCAAAATACTTTTGCTTTATAGAATTCTTGCCACCCCAGCTGTGAGCTTATCTAGGCTTCAGTTTGAGTAGGGAGGACTTCAACCATAAGCTGCTCTAAGATTACTTTTTTTTTTTTTTTGCGCCATAGCTTTAACAAATGTGGCATAGCACTTTGGAAGAAAATGTTAGTACTTGACAAAGTTTACCGTTTAGTGTCTTAAATTTAGGTTCAAGTTTTAAAACTTGGCAGTAGACTGTTGTGTGAAGTCCAGTAGCTGCTGTTCATGTGCATGTTAAGCTCCTCTTCCCTGGCACTGGACCTTGCTGTCACTTCATGGGGGCTGCTGTACCTATTAGCATCCTGGCTGAGGGGAAATGCGTTACCATGAGATTCCCATTGCTGGAAGACTTGCTGATGAAGCCTTCATGTGCTTGCATCTGAAGCTAGAGGCAAAAGAGTTGCTGTAATAGGTGAGAAGCAATATACCTGTACCCATGTTGTATTGCTCTTTTGTCTTGTATGTAGTTAGACTGAGCTCTTGGCATGTGGTATGTAAGTATCCAACTGCTCGGGGACTCTCAGGAAGGAACTACCCTTCCATTCCTTCTGTCTTTCAAGCTTAGCACTTGTAAATACGTGTCTGTTCTGACTGCTGTCATAGTTCAGCTTTATCCCCATGTGAAAACTACACAGGCTTCTTTGAATAATTATTTTTTCTGACTGGAAATACCTGTTTCTTCTTGACAATGAAACTGAAGTTTTCAGGCCCCAGATCACAGGGGGTTAGTTTTTAATTAAATACTTTACTCATTCCTTTCTGGTGAAGTGTTGCATTGTATAGACTATTAGTGCATGTCCATGGAATATAATCCAAGGGGGCTGGGGGTGTTGTGATTATAAATGCTTTAAAATTTACGGGGAAATGTCTAGTTTAGTTGCAGCATACCTGCCCATTGTGATAGCTAAGGTAATGTCCAGTCCCTTAAGCAAGAGAGGTGTTCGTGAAGCTGAGCAGTCTGTTTAGGAACCGTCTGTCACTTTGTCCCCAGTTCTTAAAGTATAGGGGAATGTGAAGCTTTTATTTTTCATGTTCATGTTGTAGTGAATTTACTGAATATTTATGTTCTTTAAATATTATATATAATGTAGTTGTTTGATTAAACCATTGATTGCACTGTGACTCATTAGTGCTATAAACTATTTTATTTTCAAAATGACTTTACTATTCCATCTTTTTAAGCCATGTTACTTTAAGCACATGATGTGTGTTAGGTACGGGTAAGCACTAGTATCCAATTACAATCACACTGAAATTCTCATAAATTAACAATAAAAGCAAAAGTTATAAATGAACTAATGGAAATTCCAATGCTGCTTCCTCTTAAAAACAAAATGTTTAACTAATTTTTGGTTGTGTGAGGGGTTAGTGCTACTGTACATGGGATTTTCCAGAGGGAAGGTTGAATAGATGTAGCTGACCTCCACACATTGATCCTGGCTAGCAGAATGCGATTCGAGTTTGGCCTTCAGCAGTGTTACAGTCCACTGAAACCAGCTGAACTCCCGTGCACATCGCACACCGTGAATGAGAAATAGAGGTGATGTGGAGCACGTGTGCGTGGCAAGTAAAGGCTAACAGCTCTTCCATCACTTTTCCACAACCTGTCGCAGAGGTCTGCATCCTGAGAAGCGCAAGGATTTCCACAGTACTCAATGCAACAACTTTGGCTGTGTTTAGTTGTAGACTGAGAAGGTTCAACAGAGAACACCACAGAAATAGTACCTATAGGATAGCTCTAACAAATCACGTAGGTTGAGGTACGTTATCTTAAAAAAAAAAAAAAAAAATAAAAATCTATGTTCTTGTCCTCATACTGATGTTGTTATATATAATTGTAATAACTCTACTTATTACACACAACTATAAAACAACTCAGATTGCATTTTTCTGGTTAAAAAGTTGAAGACAAAATTCTTGTATATACTAAAGGTATGGTATACTGGGATGTCCTGAGCTTAACTGCTCTCTGGCAGGGGAAGAGGGAGGTCCCTTTCAGGCTGTACTCAGGCTGCTTGCTGTGCTGACACCTATTTTCAAAGCTGCCTCAGAAGAAATTTATCTCCATTAAAGTTGTCCTCAATCTCAGCTGAACTGGAAAGACCCAGAGAATGCTCGAGAGCTTGCATGCAGCTATTCTGCTGCATTTCAAACATGTATTTCTTCATAGTTTGGATGAACATCAAACCAGTTTCTGAAAACATTTTCAGCAAAAAAGCCTATGCTTGAGATAATACAGTAGCAGCCCTGAATGTGTGATGCAACACAAAGGTAACTGAGGAATCACCTTTACTCTTCCAGAATACTGAAGAGCATTAATACAGCATGTTGTGAATGATGGGACTTTAATGATACTGAGCTTTCTAAAGCTCATTACAAACAGCTGAATTTTAGTTCCCTACACATGTATTTATTTTTGCAGACCACTGGTTTCCCTTGAACTTGAAAGGTTAGAGGAATGTTGAAGAGTCATCAAATGAAATGATGTTGAAGACCTTGCTTTTTCAGGGGTTAGAGAATGGGGAAAGTAATGCTCTCTTTTTTTCGGTGGAGTCCATTACCAGCTTCCTGCTCTGCAAACTGAGAGGCAAAGATTATTGGATACAGTTTCTGCTGCAGCCCTGTCGAGCCTCACAGCCAAGTGCAAGGTGTGCCAGCTGCATCTGCCACTGGCTCTGTGTGTCAAACATGCTTGAGAGTGGAAGTTTGCTCAGGTTCGTATTACCCTGAGGGAGGTTTGTACCAGGGGCCAGCCCTCAGGGGGTAGCTGAGGCATGTGTCCATCTAAAAGGTATTCCAAGTGCTACTGTAACTAACCGCATCCTATAGGAACTTTGTTTTCCATCATCCTTTGGTGTGTGTTTGGTAGGTAAGACCTAATACTGACTTCAGTACCTTAAAGGTTTCAACAGTCAAATCACTCCTGAGCTTACCTCAAGCCCCTGACAAGGATTTGTGGTGTGCTGGTGGTGCAGGCACCTAGCACAGTGCTCCTGACACAACACCTGGTGGCTATAAGAACGTGAAGGGCAGCAGCAGCGAGCCTGCCACCAGCTCCTCACTTAGGTGCTGCACAGGCTTCTTTGGCACCGTGGATAGCCCAGGCTCACCAGAACAGCTCTGGGTCCTGCTGGGGGGAGCAGAGCTCCTGACCCTCCAGCACTGCTGGTGGTTGTTTCAGGTGCAGCTGAGCAGGCTGGGGAGCTTCCCCAGAGCCAATTAGGAATAAGTGCTTTGAAGAGGACAGATGTGCAATACCATGTTACTTAAAAGAAGCCAAAAAATAATCAAAAACAACTCCCTGCAAAGGCATGAGTTACATTTTCTTGTTAGCCTACTTCACTGTAATTAGAGCATGCTCCTCTGCTCCTGTTAAGTGATCTTGTGACTGATTACATCTCATGCTAATACTAAAGGGAGCAGTGCATCACCTGCAAATGAAACCTTTTAACCATCCTCTCCACTTAGAAAATATACTTAGTTCAGAACAATTGGGGAACACTGAAACTATTCTTTTACTTCACTCTTTCCAAGTTGATCTCAAGTTATCCTTGGAAAAGCACTACATTTTTGAAGGCAATAAATGAAAATAACTCTTAGAGAAGCAGTCATGAATTTAAGATGGTTATAACAGGCAGTAATAATTCTGGACTGAGAGGAGCTTATTAAGTTTTGCACTATCAGGATTGTATCTGTCATAATACTCTTATTCAGCACTCAGTTGTCAATGAGAGACAATTAATGCTCTTAATGAAAGCTTCTGAGATGGGAAAATAAGAATAATCCCTCACCACCATCTCTTCAGAGAACCTGGCACTGGGCTAGGCTGCACACCAATCCTGTGAAAAACTGGAATTACTACTTCAAATGCGATAGTCAAGTGAAACATATGCAGGTATCTGAAAAAAAAAAGTGTTATTTTGGGGGGGGGGGGGAAAAAGGACAAAGTCAAGCTTATTTGGCTGGAATGCTGCCATATATTTAAGGAAATCAGAAATGACTACCAACACACTGCATCTTTGCTCATTCACTGAAGAGATCTTTTAACAGCAAAGATTGTATTATGAACGTATTTTTCCAGAATTTTGACTTGCGTCTGGTCACTGTTTCTTCTCATGGTATACAACCAAATTTAATCTCTGACAATTACCTAGTGTGACTAAACACAAATCACTGAAGTTTGGTTAAGAACTGAAGTTTATGTAACAGTTTTGTAACCATTCCTTTCTGTTCTCACTTGTGTTAGGATCTTGCCTGTAGGTAGAACTACAAAGTTGGAACTGAAGGCCCAATTACACAAGCAATGTGGAGCTAGAAGGGCACTGAGTTAGCAATTTCTTGCTTGCTTCAGTTCACATCACATTTCATTCTGTACTATTTTACCATCTTAACGTGACCTCACTCTGATTTTTAATATGTCAGGGTTTAGGAATGGTAGTCCGTTTCATACCAAGCTTATGTTCAGAAACACGTAAGACTTTCGGCCCCATCTGCTCTTCTGGATTCTGTTCTAGCAGTTTGAATAAGGCTGTACAAAGACTTGGGGGTAACCACAATGCCTTGGTGTAGAAGTGGATGTGAGCATGAAAGAGCTGTCTAGAGGCTTTCCCACAGTAAGAGTACCTTGACCACACACACTGTGTTCAGTGGTAAATTCTGCTACATAATTCTAAACTGCCTTCTCAAATGAAAATAGCAGGTGCTTCAAACTGTCAAAATGCAGTTCTTTCTGTAAGAAGTACGGGCGTACTCAAACAGGGTGTAGTTGCCAAGTCCTGACCAAGACGATTTGCATTAATCAGCTGCACAGTGAATAGGGCAGTCGTTTGTGAACATGGTGGCAGTGTCTCCAGATTTATTATCTTCCAGAAATTCAGCATCTCCAGATTTATTATCTTCCAGAAATTCAGCGTCTCCAGATTTATTATCTTCCAGAAATTCAGCGTCTTCAGATTTAGTATCTGCAGCAGCTGGAACCTGGTCTCCCATGTGGACATCTTCAGTGAGATGGAGAGGGCCTTCTGCCTGCCCCCCAGTGTATGTGGGAGTGCTGTACTTCACAAGAATAGTCTTAAATTGCGCCAAGGGTGCATTTGTGCGAACTCCCATAGGATCAAAGTGGGTCCTACTGACTCTGTATCCAGCTTCAGAGAGATAGTTTAAGAACTTATTTAACCTGAAAAAGACATTTAAAAAGGAGTTAGCACTCCTTACTCACAGTAAGGCTGATTCAATACAAGTTACATATTAGTTGTCACAGTAATGTAAGAGTGGAACTTAAAGCCTTACTTTGGCATGTTCATTCCTTTAATACTGTGTCTGTGGATGTTGTAGTAGAATGCAGGGTGCTCAGCACTGTTGTCAGATTTTTGTCGCTTGGCTGTATTTCGCACCACTTCATTATTTTTTCTTTTTCCTGGACCACAGAAAATGCCAGTGAAATTTTTGAATATTCAGTAAGGTCCATAAAAAATGCCAGTGAAGCCAAAGACAGTAAGTACAAAAAAGCCACACAGCAACCGCACACCTTTATGCATGCTTATATGAGATAACATTTTGCAGAGTTAAAATCTAGCCAGAATTTAATTACACACCATTTTCAGTAATAACAAGTGAGGCCAGGTATGCATAATTCAGTATTTAGCATTTTGCTTGTACCAGAAAATACGATTCTGGAAAAAGTAAAATCAGTATTCAGTGGGAAAATAACTTTTGCTTAAGCATCATTGAATATAGAAAAATTGTATGTGAACACTAGGTTGGTTTAGCCATCACTTAAACTGCACTTTAATTTGAAGCTGCTGGAGTTGCACCAAATGATCCACTTACCATGTAACACGCAGGATTCTGCTGAAGTATCTGGTGTTTTAATATATACACCACACTCTTCTAGAATACAATTAAAGATCCAAGTTAAGTCTATTGTAAAACAGTATGATGGCAAAATACCTTAGGTAAACAGAAAGAATGTCTACCACATTGCAGCCTAAAGAAGCACACTCACGGGCAACTTACCTACCAGCTCAGTAACTGATTTTAGAGGGGATCATAGAATTGTAGAATGGTTTGGGTTGGAAGGGACCTCAAAGTTCTAACCCCCCTGCCATAGGCAGGAACACCTCCCACCAGACCAGCTTGCCCAAAGCCCTGTCCAGCCTGGTCCTGAACACCTCCAGGGATGGGGCATCCACAGCTTCTCTGGGCAAAGGGTATGGCTATGATGGAGTTAACAGCATCCCATACAGTGCTGTGCTCTGCACTTGTAGCTAGAACAGCAGTGGTATCACACCAGTGTTGTGTCTGCTGCTGAGCAGTGCTGGCACAGCATCAGGACTCTCTCTAATCCCACCCAGAGCCAGCAGGCTGGGGGTGGGCAAGAGGTGAGGAAGGAACATCACCAGGGCAGCTGACCTAAACCAACCAAAGGGATATTCCATACCATATGATGTCACACTCAGCAATAAAAGGTGGAAACAAGAAGAGGGGAGAGTTGGGCTCTCGTTGTGAAAACATCTGTCCTCCCGAACAATGGCTACATGCGTTGAGGCCCTGCTTCAAGGACATGTTCAAGAATTGCTCATTGGTGGGAAGTAGAGAGTAATTTCTTGCCTCTGTGCTTCCACATAGCCTTTGCTTACGTTTGTTTTTTCCCTTTAGTTAAATTATTTAATTATTAAGGGAAAATTATTATTAATTATTTTTCCTTTAATTAAATTATCCTTAACTCAACCTGTGAGTTGTTTCTTTCCTTTTCTTCTTCCCTTCCTCTTCTGAGGAGGGGGAGTGAGATAGCAGTTGTGGTGGAGTTCTGCAGCCTAGCAAGGTAAAACCACCACAGCAACCTGTTCCAGTGCCTCACCATCCGCTGAGTGGAAGAATTTCCTCCTAACCTCTAACCTAAATCTCCCCCCTTTTATTTTAAAACCATTCCCCCTTGTCCTGTCATTATCTGTTTGAGCAATCAGCATTGGGATAGTCAAAGCAATTTAATTTTATGGTAAAACAGCATTCCCCTATGGAAGACTATTTCTTTTTGTGCAGTGATTTGCAATTCCTGCAGAGAATGCAAAGCAGGACAGCTGAGTTGTCTTCCTAATGGCACGGGCTCCCAGGTCTGCAGCAGAGTACACCAGAGAACAGACACATGCTGCTTCCAGCTCCTGGGGAATGTACTGGATTTCATGGTGGTCAGTCAGCCTGTGTAATATTCACTTGTTTCACAATCTGCTGTACTGACTGAAGATGTTTAAATCCAGCACTCTGGCTCTGACAGACCATGCTCATTTTACAGCACAGATAAGTCCTGCACTGGATTCAAAGCAACAAATATTTTCTTGACCTAACGTGTACATAACTAATGCTCACACTGCTGTTAGCATTAAGTTATCAGAGAGCATTCTCTAAAATCACCACCAGGTCAGACTTCTTTCAAAATGACTGCTGGTTTTCTTACCTTGTTTGTTCTCATCGTAAGGACCATGGGTAGAAAAATTCTTTAAAGTTGTACACTCAGCTTCACAAACTAACGTCTTCAAAAGCGGCTGAGTTTCATCTAAGCCATACTGGACTGCCTCAAACAGCATTCTTCTGAGGAATCCAGTATTAAAAAGGGCTCCTGACCTAAGAAACACAAGACAAGCGAGAAGTTTAGACCTATTAATGAAAGCAAAAGTTTTCTTAAAAAAATCTCTCACCCAAATTGTTTAGCAGTGACATTACACCAATGCACTGCACCTGACTGTGTTCTTGCTGCAGCAATACAGCATTGCTTTGTTTCCAAGGCCAATAGCATTGATCTCACATTAAAAACCATCTCAGGAATTTTATTTCTACCACTGACTTGCCCGACTAACTTGAGAAAGTCATCTAACCCTGTTTTTTGTCTGGAAGGAAGGTACTGTCAAGTGTCAACTATTTTTAATTTGCTTTGAAACCATTAAAAAACTTAGTGAAGGATTTAAAATTTTCTCTTGTGAGAAATAAGAGTAAGTATTAATTATCAAGTAGTGTATTATTTGCTACTGTCAGCACGTGTAAGGATTTACTACATACATTCTCTGCAAGTACCAAGTAATAGAGCTGCTTGACATTTGGCAACTAGAAGAACACAGAGCCAGGTTCTCCTGTGCAGGATGTATTAAAACAGTCACAGTAAATGTGAAATTTAATGTGAATTTATTACATATTAACCAGTTTGAACTCTATGAACATAACCAACAATTGAACAACCTATACTAAATTCAGAAACTACTATCCATTACCTCTTTCTTGAATGACTCCTGATGGCTACACTTCCTTTAGTAATGCTAAAATATCCAACAGACTTGCATTTCTATTATGTGACTGAATGTGACCTCCAGATGTCCTCCCAGCCTCAATTACTCCCTGATTCCTCTGTGTTCCGTACTTACCAGAGGGGACCAAGAACTACTGCTGTCTTCCCAGGCATACTGCCGTGACAATCACAAGGCAGCTGCTGATAAGGGTTTTCTACAACAGAAAAACAGAATTTAAGCTGTTTTGAAATAACCAGCAATGCTCATTTTGCTGAAGAGAGATGATACAGATATGAAGTACTAGTTTATTTAAATGGATGTATTTGAAAGGGTAAACAAGTGCAGAAGTGCAACAAAACTCTCAATTCAGAGAAGCAGTGCTGCAGTACTTGTGAAAATTTAGTGCTCGATGGCTTGATCTCTGATTACTGTTGAAATGACACTAAAGGGAAAAAAACACCAAAAAGCCACCTAGCGTGCTATATGTTTTGGCACATTTCAAATAATGTGGAAATTACTAGCTTTCTTTCCCATGATTATATAAGCAGCTGTCAAGGATAATATCAACAACAACAAAAAAATGCAACCATCTGTCAGTTACACATACAAAATACAGCCGCCTACAAGGTTTCTAAGCCATAAATCAGCCTGCTTGCAGGTAAGGCATTAAGTAAACAATTCATTTACTAATTAAGATCTCTACCATAACACTGTTCTTATCAGTTACTCATTTCTGTTCTTAAAGCAGGACCAAATCTTTTTAGTAAGAACATTGTACACTGCTGCACCTGACTTTGTTCAGACACCATCAGCTGAGTAGTTGGTATCCAAGAACCCGCAACATTGAAGCCAAGGTTTTTCCTTTTCTATTTATTCAAACTACCATCTGGCTAGGATCTTCTCCTTAGCTTCATTTTTGACTCCTACCTCTAACTTGTGTATAGAGACTGCACACGAACAGCTGGCTTTTAACCTAGAGGCTGCCTTGATTTATTACCAAGCATTAGATAAATCACAGGAATGCTGCGTACCTTGCCTACCACACCCACAGGGATTATCTCTATCAGGTGTTTACTGATACTGCCCAAGGTCAAGCAGAACAGACCCTCACCTGGGGGGAATGTGATATTGTAGAAAAGCAATCTGACACCTAAATTCATCAAACTGCCCCTGTATGGAGGAATAGCACAGTAGCAACAGGTGTCCCACTCTTCATGCCCTTCACTGAAAGGACAGATCCAAGGGCCTATTAGGCACCCTTCAGCAGCTAAAGCTAGCTGGAGAACATCCCGTCTACAAACAAATCCAGTACATTTATGGCAAAATCCATGCACACAAAGGATCTAACGTGGTACCATAAAACAGTTATTTTGCATTGGAAATAGTTTTTCCATTTCATGCAATACTTGTTACATTAAAAAGAAATACTACAGAATACCACTTTGCCTAAAGCATGTAAATATAAACAAGGCCTAAACAAGAAAAAAAAACCAAACACCCAAACATACAGGAATCAGACCTTCTAGAATATCAGTGGAAGATCTATTTACCTTCTACCATATTACCCTCTTTCTGAAAGATTCTCTCTTCACACCACTGGCAGTGGATTAGGTATCTTACTTTCTTTGCTGAATCATCCGCTGGAGATGGTCCCCTTAAAACTCTGACCACTACTAGAACAAAGTGCTCTAGAGCTACCGCAAGTAAAACTTCAATGCCTTTGTTACAGCGAGCTGCAGCTCTGCGAAGGAAGAACAAACACAAACACACATTGTACTGAATTCAGCAGACTAACATTTCCACAGACACCTAAACCTGTTCAAAGATTCTTGACCTTATCCACTTTCTAGAAAGTGATACTGAAGATCTCAGAAAGTGATATGGAGAGTTATTTCTTAAATGTGCAGTGTTCTCTACTCCCTGTAAGGCTATGGAAGTCATGGTTAACTTTTTATCACACTTAGAAACAGCAGTCTGTCCTCTGCATCATCTTTCTATACAAATACCTGCTTAATGACGGGGTGTAGCAACAAAAATATTAACAAGCTACATGAAAATCTGAGAAAGTAGAGTTCTAGAGGGACACACATGATGTTAAATCAACTGTTAATTGAATAAAGGCTGTGGGAAGGTAAGTGAGTAGTTCCTGGGTAGGTAAGCACTGAGAAGGAAGAAGAAACTTTTAGGGAAGTTGGAGCATGTAACCCAGAGCACAGTTGTAACTTCACTTCAACAGACAAGAAGTTCATCCCCATTGCCAAAATCTCAGTTCATCACATAGTTTCATAGGAAGGTCACATTTAATTAGGTACAGAATATCTGTGTCTAAAAATATTCCCCAAGGGACAACCTAACACATGCGGAGATAAAGAAGAAAAATCTAAAAGAATTCAGGTGGGTATTTTAGCTCCAGCATGCTTATGACCTCTGCACACTTTATTTTCTCCTCAACTTCCCAAGCAGTTGTCCAATCCTCTTGCCTTTATCTTTTCTTCCTCAATTAAGAACTAGTTTTACTATCTTCATTTATTTATCAGACTGAAGTTTGTAAGAATGTCTATATGCAGAAGACTTATTTCACAAGTTAATAATTAGATGCATCATTTTAATCTCAAGCACAAGGACCTGAAGTGAACACCAGTTTCCGTTAACTCCCATTTTCATTAAGGCAAGTGTAACTGTAATGCTTAGCTAGAAACCACTCAAGTAATTTAATTAACATTTGCAAAGTCCTATGCAGCACTGAAATGACCACAAAGTTGAGAAAAGAACAAAAGAACTTGCAGATGTGCAAGTCTGGCTATTACTTTTTAGATTACCACCTTCCCACCCCTCCCCCAAAAAGTCAAAACCAAATTGAACAAACAAAAAAACAGAACAACAACAATCTGCCACCATCCCAACCACCTACCCCATTTATGCATTTTCACCTTCCCTGGTCTTTTAGTTTAAGATTTATATTGTCTTATAGCAGCACACATAACATATGAAACATAACTTTCATATTGAAAAGTCTGCTTTTTTAGAATTAAAGAATTCTGGAAACTCAACATGCACAACCTACAGCAGCACTCTGAAGTTTTGTATCAAAAACAATTTTCTCCCAGAATTTGAGCCGATTTGTTTTAACAGAACCTTGCCACAGCAGCAATTACTATTCTGGCCGCCAGCTCCCTGTAGTACTCTGTTCGGACAATGTTACATCCGTAATGACGCAGGGCAACGTGCTGAGCCTTTGCATACAGAGAACTGATGTCTGTGGATGTCAGGGACACGATTCCAAGATTTCTCACATTTCTAAAGGCAGAATCCAGGTAATTCACAGAAGTTCCGAATGGGTCCAAATGTCTGAAATGAAAACAAGTCTCGCTCTGCATCTACAGATGCTCAACAGTCTAACCTTTGTAAAAATAATAAAAACTTTAAGGATCTATGCTCCGGTTTAAAACAAGGTGAGAAAGCAGGAATAAAACTGTCAGCACATCTCTCATGAATTAGTTTGGAATACCAGAGGATTAAATGTCAAGCTGCAAGAACCAAGGCAGAACTGTACTGGAAAATACACATCACCACAAAAACTGAAAGTTGTTTTTTTTTTTGGCATTTGGTCCCCCTGACTAGTTCATGTTACAGTAACATTGGCCTGATGCTTATCCTTGTCCTTAAAAGAAAAGGAAACTTCTAAAAACAAGTTTGCTTTTCAAGCATATGCATTCCAGTTTATGTACTGAATTGCGTAATTTTCACTCTGAATGCATGCTTGTCCTGGTTTCAGTTAGAACAGAGTTAATTTTCTTCCTAGTAGCTGGTAGAATGCTATGTTTTGGCTTAGGATGAGAAGAGTGCTGATAGCACCCCGATGTTTTAATTGCTGCAGAGCAGTGCTTATACTAGGCCAAGGACGTCTCAGCTTCTTGCTCTGTCCTGCCAACAGGCAGGCTGGGGGTGCAGCAAGAGCTGGGAGGGGACAGACCCAGGACAGCTGACCCAAACTAGCCAAAGGGGTATTCCATACCATCTGACGTCATGCTAAACAATATATAGGGGTGGCTAGCCGGGGGAGGGGGCCGGACTGCTCGGGGTTAGGCTGGGCATTGGTCAGCGGGTGGTGAGCAATTGCACTGTGCATCACTTGTTTGTACACATTATTATTAGTAGTACTATTATTATCATTGTATTATAATTATTTATTATTATTATTATTATTATTATTTTCCTGTCTTATTAAACTGTCTTCATCTCAACTCATGGGCTTCACTTTCCATTTCTCTCCCCCGTCCCAGAGAGGGAGGGGGGAGGGTGAGTGAACGGCTGTGTGGTGTTTAGCTGCCGGCCGGGTTAAACCACGACAATGCTGCTTTATTAGCTACAAACTGGATGTTAATCAATACCAAAGGAAATCCAATAATTTATTCTGATATCTGTATGGGTTTAGAATTTATCCATCTGTAAGTCCAACTTGAAAGAAGTAACTACTTCAATTGAAGATGTACACGCTGCAAAATGGATTAAAACAAGTGATGCAACAAACATGCAGTCCTATACAACAGCATGCAAATGAAATATTTTTTAACTAATTAAAAACCTCAAGGGAAAAAAAGGACAAATTTAACATTTCTCTTTATCAAACAGGCAATGAAGTTTTATGAAAAATACTTTGGCTTAAAATTTTCATGTGTATTTATCTTCCTTTTGGATGTTGAAGGCTTTGACAATATTTTCCCAGTAATCTCTAAAACATTTAATGTTCCATTTCCACACCTGTCCCAGGACAATACAATTACTTTTGAATTATCAGCTGACTGTTGGTTACTTCTTTCATTCCAACTTCCCTATCATACAGTGGGGCCTGGGATGGGATATGGGGTGTTATTAGCAAAACAGAAAGCTTATTAAGATAAACTTTTAACACTTACATAAAATCAAATGACCTCATATGCATTATAACATTGGCATCCATTTTTGTCACCTCAATGGTGTCAGTATTTTGTTCTCCACCTCCCAAAGCTTCGTCATTGTTTTCTTCCTTAGTGTTCAGTTTCACCTTCATTTTGTTTAAATGGCAGTTTTCCTGAATCATTGTCACAGAATTTTCATTACAATCATTAATTGTAACTTTCACGGAATTTCTGAGATGCTTTGCCCATTGTAATCCCATTATACCTAGGGAAAGATAGAATTGTAACTCCGTGACAAAACAGTGAGTTCTTTTCCGGTTCACTGAAATCAGTGAGAAAAAAATCCATCCTTTAAAATGCTTATAATATGGAAGTGTGACGCAAGTTTTGGTGTGTTCCATAAAAAACTGTGTTGGTGACTTTCTGCATCAGCACATAGTGCTGTAATAGTAACGACAGTAAGTTTTAAGTGCAGTAGTCAATTTGTCACCTTTTTGAAGACGCTTAGGCCATCTCCAAACTTTATTGCTGACTTTCATAGTAAACTCTGTAACTACAAAGAAGTGCAGAACAGGCTACAGTTCTGGCCTGGCTCAGAACAGTGATAAATTCATTACCAAGAACTTTTATTAAAAATGCTAAGCAGCTACAGCTGTTCTCAATAATAACCCTGGCTTTACAATAGCAGATTGATAATAAGGCAGCACAGGTCAGATTTCTTTAGATTTTTTTTTTCTAGATAGTTAGTGGACACTGACCAAATGACTTTACGTTTAGTTCACATTCAGAATTTTTGAAATCAATTACAGATGAATATGTAGATAGTGCTTGGATTCATTTCCATTTTTTAACCAGAGGTTGATTTTACAAAGTCACATAAGATTTGGGACCCTGGTCACACATTTAGTAAGGTGGTATTTCAAGGACATTTTAAGGCAACTCATTTTTAAGCAGATCACTCAACTTTGATTTATTATTTACGAAATTTTTGACGGACTCTTGAAGGCTGTGTTTTTTATATGGAAGCCAATGATTGGAAGCCTAAGGAGGAAAACTGCATAGCTGAACACAGTCTGAGGAACACAACAGTATCAGTTACTACAGATTTCTGCAGTCTCATAGTATTGGATAATAGCTAAAGATTAAAGAAATTGACTTTACCAGTGGCACCAAATGCATCCAAACATTCTATTGGTTTACGCTCTTCAGCTAGAACAGCTAGTGCACAGAATATCAATTGCCTAGGGGAAAAAAAAGCCACAGTAAGATGAGAAAATATTTTTTTCTTCCTCTTGGTTATTTGTTCCCCTTGAACATCCTCCTAAAACTTCTAAGCTAGATCACTTTTTAAAGAATTGTTTACTTTTAACCTTTTCAATTGATATGACAGTGTTTCATACTTAATTTAGTGACTCAACACATCAGAATATTCATAAAGTAGGATCCTGAATCATCTTACAGTTACTCTAGCACTAGGAAAAGTGGTAAGCATTTATAAGTAGTGTTTCTCTTCCATTCCCAGCACAATCAGATGTTACCCTATTAACAGCTCTGGGTTTGAAAGGAAATCAGAAATGACTGCAAAACAAAAAATTCCACTGTTTCAAGGAACAGGCATTGTTCACATAGGCATAGTCACAAACTTAGTTGCAATGGCATTCTTCAGAGGCAAGTTTTGACAGATGTATCTGAGCTAACTTTAAACCTGGAAGCTGAAATATTTACAGCACTGAAAACATGAGGGGTCTGCACAGGCTGAAGCCTACTGCTATGCTTTGGTGTTAATGCTTGCACATTTTAGTTGTGGTATAGAAATATTTATGAGTCTCCTTAAAAAAAAACACCACCAACAACAAAACTGTCCTTCCTTTATCTTTTTTAATGCAAATACAAGAAGGAACTTTTGAGTTTTTTAGAAGTAGTAATGAATATGTATTAGCCTAGGAGCATAAAAATCAGCTACTTGATGTAACTGGTGTGCGTCTAGGTGAAGCGGAGACTCCCGACGCACACAGCGCTGTTTGCTTACCTCTATTCTTTTAATAAATTGTAAACTTTGATCATAATCCTATTTTGGGACTGAGCGATTTATAACAGAGACACACAAAAACATATGAAGTGTGTACAAGGAAATGTGTTTTCAAGTGTGCTCTTCTTTTAAAATCCTGTTTTTTTGCATAAACTACTTATGTAAACACGCTTAATTGCTTCAGAGACAACAGTATTTCCCACGCAGTGTTTTTGGTTTCACATGTTATTTGTCAAGAAGAGTTTTCTGATGGAGAACTTTCCAAAATTAACAAAAGTTATCCTGGCAGACAAATAAAATGGAACATGTCTAAATGGAATCTTATCCCAAGAACCATCGTGTTACTGAAAAAGCTATTTCTCCTTCCCTCTGAACAGAGTTCACAGGGTTTGTTTTTCAAAATGTATGAATATTCTTTACTACAAAGTCAACATTCCTTTTGTGTATCTTCCCACTCCCTGTTCTCTCACCTGTTGAGTTTCATTTTGGGGTTAAAATAGGAATCTGTTTTTTGCGGTGTGGAGTAGTTGGGAAGAACCTGCACATCTGTGTCTGACTCTTTCAGCACTTGGTAAGATGACTTGGGAGCAGGAGCTAAAAAGAAAGTAATTGTGCGGAAAGGAGAGTGAGAATTGAAATTAATGAGAACACATTTGATACATGAAATTGAAAACGTGCTCCCAGGTAGCAAAAGGACTAAACTTTGCAGTAACCCAGCTGGCACACATGGATCAGTTAACTCATACATGGGGCAAAAAAAGAAGCAACGATTTATCTTCTAGTCTTAAGAGTGGCTGACTAGGCTCAAGCTCTACCACAGTTTCCTTCTAATAGAAGACCAGATCTGTTTCTCAGTTGGGCTCAAACATGTATCCACTCCAATTTTAGAAGGGAAGCCCCTGAGCCTGAGGCTTACCACATTTGTTCTGCACATTCAAATGTAGTATGTTGCAAAGTAATTAAAACCCTATTAACAAAGTGCTGAATTTATACCATTGAACTCGTTGATTCAATCTCTGTAAGTTACCGAGCAGCTTCATGAAATGTGTACAGATAGCACAAGCATAGGGACAGTTTCAGCACTTAAACTTCGTATAAAATAGTTTGTGGCAAAATAAGCTTTCTGGGTTTGACAGCTCTAAACGCACATTGTCATTCCCCTGAGAAATTTACCCCCAGTCTGAGAGTAGCAAAATTTACCCAGAAACAACCAGGCAAAATTTGTTAGCTTTCAACCAGGTACCTTTCTGTGCACGGCTGCCTATCCCTCCGTGCTTTTAAGTACATTATCTGAACTGCTCTACCACCTGCTCCACATTTACAGCCTTCAACTTCTGCTCAAGCACCTCCTAAGTATTAAACGTGTCATCTGTAGCTTTCACCTCTCTCCATGAGGGAAAATAACCACAAGCATTTTACGTAAAAAGGACAAATCAGCCATTCTGTACTAACTGCTCTGGAGGGAATGATGCACAGATTAATGTATTCCACATCACAAACTCTACTTAAGTTAAAGCCGTAGAAATATGTCCAACTATTGCTTCTTAGACATGGAAACCGATTCCCAGACACTGAGCTACTATTCCCTGAACTGCAGACTGTTAACAGAACTAAGTATGATTCTCAATAGCTTCCAGTCCCATCTTTACTAGAACTAAGTAAAATCCACACATCTATACAGAGATAGAGAGAGTTAAAAAAAAAACAAACAAAAAAAACCAGACCAATTTGCAATAGTAAACAGTCTGGGCCATTATAAAAAAAGCCGTTGAGTTTTTACACACCAGGTAATCAATAATGAAAATTTTAAATTGGTATCTGCAGAGAAAGGAAAACTTACAAAAATAAAGGAAATAAAATTAATTTTAAACACTTGATATTCTAGTTATTCAAAATACTTTCAATCTAGTTTATCCAAGTTTGGAAACAGAATTCTAATTCTTCAGAGAGTCAGACAAGGATTATAATTTTACCAAAGAATCACTGACACCTCTATCATGATTCTCCAGTACTGGAAGAAAGTCATCTTATTTTGTAAATTCACGTTGATGCGGTTTGGTTAAGAAGAGCAAAGCATTTTCATATTCTAGAGAGATTTACTGAAGACTGATACAAATACAGTCAAAGAAAGGCATGAAATTCTCTGGCCATATTTTGTGTTATGGATACCATGTCCTCCATTATTTTGCAGAAGCCTGCATTTACAACTTTAAACTCTTTTGAAGTGAATATTATTTATCAGTAAGAATAGAGTAACTAGTTAATGCAGAGAAAAAATCACAACACTCCTACATCTTTGAGGAAAAAAAAAGTTCTGAAAGATTAAGGGCAGATTTCTTATTACTAAACTTAAATAATTTTCTTCTGGAATTTTTCTTACACTTTTCACTTGGGTATCATAGCTAACCCAAGTACTACATGGTCTAAAAGAATTGAACATTTTACAGTAGTGAGAAGCTACCTGTAATAAACCTTGATTCAGTTTCTCCTTTATTCACGTGACGATTAATATGCCCTATCATGTCAGTTCTCCGAGCGATAGTTGCCGAACAGATAATGCAATGGTAATGGGCTCCCATCTTTGAAAATGTCTGTGAAATAAAACATATGCAGTTTCAGAATACACAAATATGGTTCAAGTAAAACTATCCCTAAATATGGGGAGATGAAGAAGTCAACCATCTGTAACTCTACAACATACAAAATATCCTGCATCTATAGTTATGGGCACTGAAACAATCATTCCCACAGAGGCAGCACAGCTGTCCTGTCGCAGCACCACAACATTCAGCTGCCTGCCAATCCTCCATGTACTCAGCACACAGGAAAGGGAGTGAGATGCACCCAGTGCTGGGCACTGTGATCCCTTCACCTCTTCCGCACAAAGATGCTGTTTACATGATAGGCAGCTACCCACAAAAATAAGAGAGACAGACAACTACATTCAACTACTTGAAGGCTACACATTTATATTCTCAACTGATGCACGTTTGCCAGAATGGATAGTACACCGTCCTTTGAGACTAAGAATAGGTTGCAGAATTTCCTCCAAATCACCCATTTCCCCCATGATGTAGGGCAACAAATATTTCCCTGATTTGGCATTTTACCTGGTCTCCAACGAGGTTTGGCTTTACTAGACGACAAGGTAAGTGGCAGATGCACATTCTGTACCCTAAAGAACAAATGCATGTCACAACACAGTACAGTAAGCAAACAGAATTTCTTATGTCCTATACTAGAAACTCTGATTTAGAGTGTTTTAGATTTTTTTTTATTGCATGGTCTCAACTAAGAGAGGTCCCAAATATTGCCACAAGACAATGGTGACATACATTCAACCAATGGACAGAGATATTTATCAGCTAAGTATACACTGAATTTTTGAAGCGTTCAAAAATCATACAAAGACAATTCATTTTGATAGGTCTCTTAGCTTCCTACAGAGCTACAGCGAGTATTCAGGCTGTAGAGTATATAACTTTCAAAAATACAATACAAGCACTTACAAGTGTTGCTACATGGCCAACAGACTTGTGTGAAGTAAAAACTTGTCTCGTGGTATAAAGAAAAACAAAGAGAAGACACATGCTGATGCATGCAAAAAAAAGAACCTCAGTTGGATCATTTTAAAATTTAAATTTAATGTTGTCTATATTCTGGTTGGTTACTTTATTTCTTGCAAACCCGTACCTCTACTTCTTTAAAAAAAAAAAAAAAAAAAAAGATGTTGCTCACTCTTTTCCTTCTTAAATTTCTAGTAGGGATTTTAATGCATTTTATAAACAGATCAGAGAGTTTGGCTGTATGGGAGAAAAAGCTACTAAATAGTGATATTAAATTTAACTTTACGTAGTTATCTGAAACTATGTAATCTTTATGACAAGCCAAAAATTTTGGCAGGGTGTGGTGGTAGCAATGGTGGAAATCGCTCTGATTATTAACAATACGACAAAAAAACTTTTATTAAAGTAATTTTCATAAAATAAATATATATGTTTTATTATCATGAAATGCCAAGCAATTGCTGTTTTTTGTTTGTTTGTTGTTGTGTTTTTTTTAATGAGAAAATGCACAATTGGGACTATTTTGTCATGTAGAAAATACAGAGCTATTTACATTTTACATCCCAGGGCAAAATTCATCTTCTCAAAGTATGGTTCTAGTTGAGAGCTGATAACAAGATGCACCAGATTCACGCTTAAGTCAACAGGAACTTAACAAGACAAAATGCAGAATAATGTCCTACACATCCACTACTCCTTCTCGTATTTACCACTGAAATATGACTTCCTTTACCTTCAAATTCAACAGAAATTTTCCAGTGCAAATTCTGGAGGTGACGATGGAGTTTATGACCATAGCAAGCTTTGAATTTCTCCTCAGGACACAATGGACAAGGCTTCTTTTCATCTAAAAACACACACAGAAAGTATGAGAAACATGTAAGCTGCAGTTACCATGCATTTCAAAAGAGATACCTGTTAAAAAGAAAAAAGAAGGAAGAGTCGAAGATGAGTTTTGCAAGGTATGTTCGATTTCAGGTGTGCAAAATGTTACCATATATGGATTGTCTTTGCTTTCTACTTAATGGAATACGGACCAGAACCACGATTGCTTTCAAGATCATCAACTTCTACAACTGTTAGTTTTACTTTTTGGACATTTTGTTTTAGACCCATTTGATCCATCTAACTTCTTAAGAGCATTGCAGAATGAAAGAATTTTATAGAACTCTCTATAGAGACTTTCAAGAAAACCCAACTGATGATGTTAAGAGTAAAAATCTCTTTCCTTCCCCCCCTGAGCCTACAAATGTGCTTTTGGATAAAAACAAGTGCCTGGTAACTTTTTAAGGTGCAAAAATACTGCACTCAATATTAAAAATAACCTTTCTTCTTGGAAATCACACATCAAAAACACAAGAGTGAGGGTGACATTATCTGACAACAAAAGCATTCAAGCATCTGAAGTACTATCCTGAGTAAAAACTAGCTATTCGTAGACATGCTGTACACTTACACATAAGAATTATGGATCGGAGCATGCATACATCTGCTGATGGGTCTTACAATGCTGAAAATCAAACAACTTCTCATGCAGAATTTAGCAGAGAGGCTTGTGTTTGAATAGTACAGGATGAATACTGAAACATGCCACAAAATGTGGGCAATGTGTAATAATTACTTAGGCTCACATGACAGTAAAATTCCTTTGATATGGCCTTTTTACAAGTGGACTACCTTGTCTGTGAAGTATCTCATGCCACTGAAACCAGCAAAAGTGGCCTACAGCTCACAAAAATCATCATTGCTCTCTAATGTTGATCAGACTCTGCTGCTGTTACACATTACTGAGTCTCAAATACATGAGGTGATGGCAGTAGATACAAGTCAGTCCATTAATGCATTAACAGCAGAAGAATATCACATTCTCAGCAGAAGAAATAAAAATGACTACTGAGAACAGGCAAGGGAATATTTATTTATTATTAATCACTACTGTGGATCTGCATCTAATTCAATTCAGTAATGGCTAAGAAATATAAGTATCAGACCCAAGAACTATTTATGACCCAACTCCTCATTAAATAAGAAACAAGCTAACTTCTGTAGTTTTACTCTTGGCATATTTGTTAGTAAAATTAAACAGCCATGAAGTAGGCTATTATTTCTGTCAGTGGATATTCTAAAAGATGGTTAAGGTGCAACAGCTGTACAATGCAGTACCTGTGTACACTGATGTTTTTCTTGTTCTGTGCATAAAAACTAGTTTCAGTCGCAAGGGCTGCCACTGTTAGCACTAAATATGTACCTGCGATCTGAAAAAAACTAAGAGTTGTAATAAAAACACTTAGCACTCTTAAGCAACTCTCCAATATACCATTGAATGCAGAGAAAAAAAAGGAAACAACCAAAACAGAAGACATACCTGTTTAAAATGATATTCAAACACTGCAAAGACAAAAATTAGCTTCTCTATTCATGTGGCGCTTGATGTAAAATATAACTGAGACTCAACTGATGATGTACAGCTAGAATTAATATTTTGCTATTCCATGCACACTGCCAACATCAGAAGTGCTACGACACCGAGGAAAGTTGATGGAAAGGAATCATTAAAGCCTTAAATTTACTGAAGGAAATACAACATTTGATAAACAAGGAGGGGGGAGATGACATTTTTTTTTAATTATGAAACCTTTAATCTTTCAGCACCACAAATGAATCAATTCAAGTGATGTCATGTTTTAAAAATAAAAACTAAGGAAGAATGCAAATACCTGTAACATGAAGATCTGTTTTCAGGGATACTGCCAAGGTAAACTCACCTTCACTCAGGCCAGCTAGTTTCTCTAGTTCAGCAAGTTGTCTTTGAATGGAAATATGTTTCTCTAAAAATCAAGAGATATTTAGAAGTTAAACATACTTCGTTAAAAACTCTTCTAGCTTACTACTGTTTTTCAATCCATCAGTTCAAATCTACTAGGGAAGGCCTATTGTACCAACTGGAACACTTGTCTGCATCCTTTAGCTTACAAGCAGAACTATAGTAGAAGGTACAACTTCCAAAATTTATCCTCAGAATGGTTATTTAGTAGGATACAAATATTTCTACTTGTTTTCATGCTGACACACATCATAATTCTCAAACTGGCATGATCTTCATTTGAAAAAACAAGCAGAAGAGAGCAAATCACATATCATTTACTTATGACTTTACTGCATGTTGTTGTTATAGAATGCAAACATTTACTTCTGACTTTACTGCATGTTGTTGTTATAGAATGCAAACCACACATAAAGCGGTATAAAATCATAAAATCATCCCATGAACTACCTGGCAAAGCTAGTATTGGTCAGAAACAGACCAGTTGCAACTAGCAATTATTCACTGTGCAGGCAGGATACATTAAATTCTATCACTTTTTTTTTTTTCCCTTAGGAGAGTGTTTGAGAACCTTTAAAATTACCTTCCTATTTTTCAACTTATCCATGCAAATAGCATAGAATATGCTAAAAACAAGATAATTAGTTTACCTGATCAATTTTGTAGGTTATAGCACACAGAACATCTCAGTTTAAACCTTCACACAATGTTTTTACAAGATTAGTCTTTCAGACTTTTTTATGTGAAACAAATAAAGCAATTGATTTATGTATGAAGATACAGAAGTTGGTTTTAAAGCTAAGGTTAAATTCCTAATTCCCAGTTTCTGTACTGGGAATACAATTTTCTCTGCTCTCTGTGGTGCTTCTAGCATCAGACCCTGAGGCAGATTATACCTCATCCAACATAACGGCTTCTCTTCTGCCACTGTATTGCACACAAATTCTGAAGTGGCATCCACAAATTTTAGTATGCATCTGCATGGGAAAAAGCATTGATACCTATCAATGCTTTGATATTACGAATGAAATTTCACACATTCCCTTTACCTTTCTTTCCCACTATTTTTATTTTTTTCCTCCTTTGTTCAAGCACACAACACAAATATTCTTATAGTTTGTTAGCACACCTCTTAGATAATCAGATGAAACATCCAAAATGTTCCTTTCAGACTCCCTTGCAGATTCTTCTTCCTCAGTTCCTTTTTCTTTGGTTTCCACTTCTGACTCAGTAACTTTCACACCCAGGTTGTTGCTTTGCACCGTTCCAAGGTCGATCACACCATCTTAAGAAAATTAAGCAAACGAAACAAACAACAACAACAACAACAAAAAAAGTAAAATTGTCATTGATATGCTTGAATTATACAACTGAGTTCACTTGCTTCCAGTTATTTGGTGCTTCTAACAGCAAATGTGACTAACAACCGTGAAGGAGAGAAATTGTATAATCACCACTGAGAACATCAGAATGATTACTGCTAATCCTTGGAATCTGCAGAAGAAACCATTCACACCCATCCATATTATCAGATGTTTGAAGTTAATAAAATAATATTTGCATGTTATTTTCTGGCAAAATGTAACACAAGACAAGGCAGGCAAGCAGGAAGTCCAAATATGTTTAACCATATAGTAGCGATAAATAAAGTTTAAAAGCAAAAGTTTAGAACTGTTTATGACTAGCTGAACAATCCGGAAAAAGGAGTTTGAGTGGGCAATGAAACAAAGAGAAGTGGTGGACATGGGAGAAAAATAATCTTCATTTCACATATGAATGGAATGAATGGATGGGCTCTGAGCTGAGCATCATCAGGATTACATTCTTAGGGTTTTAAAACAATTTGATTGAAAGAACAGGTATAAATCCTCTCTAAGACCCAGCATAAGAAAGTTCTGGGAAAAAAGGCAGAAAGCCTACATATTGAACAGTACTGCCACATATCCCCCAAGCTCAAAAGGGACACAGAACCAGCAAAGTTCCAAAAAAGGGTGGCAAGAAACAACAGAAAGAAACAGCACAGGTTCTTAGCCATGGAGAAACAATAGAACAGGCTATGACTTTTCAGCCTGTACCTAACATCCATAAAGTCATAAGATACTGGGGGAGCACAGACATCAGCAGTGCTCCAGCAGAACCTGGGATGGACCAAATGGGAAGAGCAGACGGAAAATCAGAGCTGAAGTTTTCTGTATAACCTACTGCTATGCTGCAGACCTCCCTGCCACTGGCTGCTGCAAGTCTGTGAGTGCCAAAGGAAGAATTATACTGCAGAGAAATCCACTACAGGCTTTTAAACCCCAAAGCGCTACCTTTGGCTCAAGAAACTGATGAGCCACGAGGTGTTTTGTGTTTGAAAGTGTTTCTGGAGAATGCATTAGTGGTCGGCTGGTTGCTCTGCTCTGCCCGCAGTCACCTACTTCTGTCCACTACTGGAGCCAGGATAAGGCCCGAACAGGTCTTACAGCAGTTCTTAAGGCTCCCTTGTTTTGTCTGGTCTGTTTGGTTTTAAACATTGCAGTTTGACCCAAATCTTGCCTATTTCAAAGAAATACAAAGAGGAATGGAGTGAACGCCTGAAGACAGAGATTAGAGAAAAATAGTGTAGAAAAATGTTAAAAGTGCAGAGCAAAATTCTTTCAAGTACCTTAAAAAAACAAAACAAAACAAAAAAAACAACAGAGCAGCCCTGCAACTCAGAGTACCGCTGCACTTCTCACAGATCTATTTTTACAGCTGAAAATTCACCTGAGACGTACTCTGATGTCCTGCCTACTCATCTATTAAAGAGTTACGTGGTGCCTGGCGACGGTTTCCACGTAGCTCATTAACGGCAGGAATAAAACCGAGACCTTTTTGTAAGAGAACTGTAGGAAGGCACAGGCTTGCACGCGGCCGCAGGCGCTGCGAGGCGGCTGCTAACGTTTCCACAGGAGAAGAGCCCGCACCGACAGCCACCGGGCACCTGCCGCCCGCTTCTCGCCCCTCCAGCGGCCGGCACGGCCCAGCACCGCCCTTTGTTCCCGGGCCGCGGCCGCGCTGCGCAGCGATCGCCCCTCACGCCGCGGCCCCGGCACCACATGGCGGCCGCCCCCTCAGCGCCCGCCGGCAGCCGCTGCCCGCGCCCTGCCCCCGCGCGGCCCTTACTGAGCGCCGCGGCCTCGCCGCCGCCTCCGGGGCTCCGCTCCTCGTCGTCCTCCTCCTCCTCGTCCTCGTCCTCGTCCTCCTCTTCCTCTTCGTCCTCCTCCTCCTCGGCTCGCTCCTGCTCGGGGGGCAGCTCAGCCAGCGCGGCCTCCGCGGCCTCCTCCGCTGCCATCTTCTCCGGGCGCGTGCGGCAGGCGAGTGTGGGCCGAACCGAGAGCCCCGCGCCTCGCAGGGAGGGAGGGACGGAGGGAGGCGGGCGGGGGGCGCGGCGATGGCGGGGCGGGGGGGGAGGCGCCGAGCGCCGCCTACACTTCCCAGAGCGCTGCTGGGCCGCGGGCCGGGCTCTGCGCGGCGGGGGAAGGACGGGGTGGGGAGGAGGAGGAGCAGTAGCAGTGAGGAGCTGGGAGTGGTCGGTCGGTTTCTGGACCGGACCGGAGCGGGGCGAGAGGCTGAGGCGCCCGGCGCTGAGCCGCTGCGACGGCGGTGGGTGCGAGGCGAGGCGAGGCGGGGCGAGGCGGGGCTGGGGGGAGGCCGGGAGGAGACCGGGAGGAGGCCGCCCGGTTCGTGCCCCGAGGGCCGGGGCAGGCGCTGCCGGGACTTGCTGGGCCTCGGCTAAGCAGCGGCTCCGGCCGCGGTTACTTCGCCAGCTGCTGCGGCACCGCTCCGCCGGCTGGCCGGTGCCTCGGGAAGCCGGCTGCGGGGTCTGGGAGCGGGCGGTGAGGCTTCCCCACGGCCCTCCGCTGGCCTCCTTGGTAAGCGGCTGGTGCCCCCAGAGTGCCGCGCTGCGCTGCTCCATGGGGCGCGTCGGCCTGGGGCGAGGCACGGTGTGAGAGGCAGCGCGTCCAGTTCTGGGCCAACAGCGATCGGGACAAGCTCAGCAGGGAGCAGGAGGGGCTCCCAGCCTCAGCCTGGGTTAAACACGGTTTGAGGGAACACTAACTGTGTGCCTTGGGCGGCTGGACCTGGTGTCACGTCCAAGGCATTGTCCTGGTGTGACAGTACTTACTGCTCCTCTCTGTCATCCGGTTGTGCTCTTTGATTATCATTGGCAAAGACTAGTCCTTCAATTCTGTAATAAGTCATGGCAAATTTGGTATTGCTTCCTGTATAGTTTTGTCGCTCAGCATCCAAAGAGCCCTGTGTTGTATAACGCCTTCCTTCCTGAGAAGGAGGGAGTCTAAGGCAAGAATTAGAATTGAACTGCTTTAAAAGTTCACTGTTATAATACAGGCTATAAAAGGGTGTTTGCCTCTGCTCATCTGGTGTGTTTACTAGAAGAAAATCTACATCTCTGGAGCAGATAGTAGAATAAGGAATGGCCACCCTTTTTTCTGGGTAGCTTTGTCAGTGAGATATGGATTGTCAACACTGTTCAGGTTTGCTGTGGCTCGTATGTGGAAGAGAAAACAAAGTATTTTTTCATAATTAAGTTAAATTATTTTTATACCAGTAAGGGTTAAAAATTTGAAGTTAATAATAATTATAATGCTTTTTTTTTTCCTCTTAGGATTCAAAGATGCCTAAAAAGAAACTGAAGAAATTAACTGGAAAGGAGGATACTTTGGATGACCAGGATGACAAAGTAGGAACAGTTGTATTATTATTCTTTTTAAATCACATCTCCACATTCAAGGGAAGAGTGTGAATTATTTAGCAGTTTTGTTATGGAAGGATGAATCAAACTTTAAAATGAAAGGTAGGACCACTAAGAACAGCAGGAGGATTGAATTTGTTAGATAATTGCAAAGTGGTAGTCAGGTAGCTGGTATGTTTTTCTCTAGAGCCTGCAGGTGGAATAGGTGTCAGAAGTTGACAGTTGTTTTTTTTAAGTGT